ACAAGAGGTCCAGGCATCCATTCGCATATAGTTGAACCAGTCATCAGAATCGCCTCTCAGAGTTTTCAGTAACAAGACGTGGACAAGTCTTTTCAGAAGCTACCTCCTTGACTAGTTTTTATTTTCCCTCTTCATCTCTATACCGTTCAGTCGTTGTATTGTTATAGTTAAAAAATAAAAGAAAAAAACCTACTCTAAAATCTATCTATCTCTAAAATATGATCAAAAACTCTAAAGACAATAAGGCAGCTGAATTACATAAAATACCAGTAAAACTGTTAAAACTAGTGGAAGAGGATAACTTGAAAGTATTGGCAGATTTATTCAACACGGTGTACGATACGGGAATAATACCACAAGAGTGGCTGAAGTTAACAGTTATAACCATCCCTAAAAAACAAGCAGCAAAAAAGTGCTCTGATTATCGAACACTGCGCCTCATGAGCCATACTCTAAAAGTACTGATAAAAATAATACATAAGAGAATATACGAAAGGCTAGGGAGGATATTAGCGAGACGCAGTTCGTATTCCGAAATGGAATGGGTACTCAAGAAGGACTATTTGCCATTAACATATTAATTCAGCCATAAACATAAAACTCATAACTATATCGCCACTTTTGTTTAACTTATATTCTGAAGAAATTTTCCAAAACACGCTCAATAATATCGAAGCGGGTGTCACCGTTAACGGAAAATTAATTAACAACTTACGATATGCAGACTACTGGCATTTGCAGACGATATAGATCTAATAGGAAACACGCGATTAAGGATGAAGGAGACTTTCGTAAGGTTTGAGAAAAAAGCAGAGAAGATGGGGCTCCAAATCAACGAAAACAAGACGAAATATATGTATATGAGCCGCAATAACCAAAGCAGAGACAGAATCGGTCAGAACATTACCATCGATGACTTTAACTTTGAGCGCGTTAGAGAATTCTAGTATCTTGGAACAACAATAACTGAAGACAATAACGGATCACAAGAAATAAACAACGGGATTCAGGCCGGCAACAGATGTATTTTTGCCCTCCAAAACCTTATAAATCAAAACGACTAACACGACGTACGAAGATACAGGTCTATAAAACAATCATACGACCCGTTGTGATGTATGGAAGCGAAACGTGGACGATAACAAAGCAAATGAAGAGAGACTACGTGTTTGGGAAAGAAAAATCCTAAGGAAGATCTTTGGTCCGGTGCTTGATGAAGCATCAGGACAATAAGAACTAATAAAGAGCTTGAAGACCTTTACCCAGACACGAACACATCTCCTCTCCTTCCAGTTGGGACTTCCTCCCACACCAAGACTGGTGTGGGAGGAAGTCCCAACTGGAAGGAGACCACGCGGACGCCCTCGTCTCCGGTGGCGAAATAATATAGCAGGAGACCTAAGCAATATGGACGTGGAGAATTGGATGGAGGTTGCTCAAGACAGAAAATAGTGGAGGCATGTTGTCGAGTCGGCTAAAACCCACGAAGGGTTGTAACGCCACGGAGTAAGTAAGTAAGTAAGTAAGATATGCAGACGACACTGTAATCATAGGAACGAGTATAGAGGATCTACAACACCTTATCGAAAGCTTGAGTATGAATAGTGCTGGAATGGGAATTAAATGGGAGTTACTATGAACGCTAAAAAAACAAAGTACATGCTAATTACAAAAAGACCACAAATTATACATCACCTATTGACAATCAATGGCAATGTGATAGAACAAGTAGAAAAATATCAGTACTTGGGAACTTTGATCAATGAAACCAATGATCATACTGTAGAAATAAACTGGCGAATAAAGATTGCCAGATCAGCATTTATACGAATGAAGCCACTCCTAACGTGCAAAAATCTAAATTTGAATATACGTACCATTCGCTGTTATATATTTTCAATATTATTATATGGAGCTGAGACTTGGACATTAAACAAATGCAATTTAAAAATAATCGAGGCCTTCGAACTTTGGTTATACCGCAGAGTATTAGACATATCATAGACTGAAAGAATTACAAATAAAGAAGTACTGGGGAGGGTTGGTAAAGAAACTGAACTAATCATCACTATACAAACCAGAAAACTGGAATACCTAGGTCACGTGATGAGAAGCGCAAAATATAAAATTTTGAGACATAATACAGGGAAAGATTTAATGAAGAAGATCTGTTGGCCGAAGGCAGAACTCATGGTTAAAGAATCTACGTGATTGGTATCAATGCAGATCAATTAATTTGTTTAGAGCAGCAAGTTCTAAAATAAAAATAGCCATTATGATTGCCGACCTTCGTAGGAAGATGGCACTCTAAGAAGAAAACTCTAAAATCACCCTTAAGAACTCAAAGAAACTCTTTACATTACCACAAGAATATTTACAGCAATCTAATATACTTACTGACGTTTTATTTAAATATGCTTTACTTCAGCAATTATTTTAAAATGCTTATCTATAAAATATTAGTCAAGGTTTATTTAATTACAAGACAAACCATTTTTTACTCAAATTGAAGTACCGCCCTCAACACCTGAGCGACAATAATTTGCCACTAGATAAAAACCACATTTACGATAATGACTTATAGCGTCTCAAAGTTTCTATATTCCAGAGAAACTAATATAATTAATATAATCGAAGACTTTAATGTTATTTAACAAATCATTGATTTTATTGACAGTGACATGATTGCCGATTTACAAACAAAAACAAAAAAAATTGGGATTAAACCTATTTCTTGATGCATTCTTCTTTCCCATGAGCGTAGGCGCAAAATTGTGTGCCAATGCCTTTTAAATGCATTCATTTTTTTCGAATCCTAGGAAAACTAATGAGTATTTTTTAAAAATTTAAATGTAAAATGAAATTCTTTTTCACCACTGTAACTCACTAAAATAAACAGTATTGAAGTTTTCAGGGACTTTTGGCCCTCGGTAATGATGTAATCTTTCATTCTGCGTTTAAATTAAAAAAAAATACTTATTACTTTTCTCGGGATTCGAATAAATGAATGCAGTTAAAAAGCATTGGCCCGAAATTTTGAGCCTACGCTCTTATCGTCTAGCCAAAGTACTGGGTTCATGGCTTTATCAACGTATAGACGTAATTCACAAAACTTTATAATACAGCCAGTTTCTTTATATAGTAAGAGGTACTTAAAGGGCTTTTATTTATAATTTGAGGGACTTGACACATCATCTCTGTACGTAGTAGCCACTACTAAAAGCTTTTTGAAATTGTGAGTTTAAATAATGAACTGTACCTAACATGTTTCTATGACATCCTTGACATAATCATTTAGATGGCTTGGCAATATTTATAATGCAGTTGCTACAAGGAAGTTATAAATTAAAAATAATCTTATTCAAATATTATTGAGGTATTTATCTTTAAATAATTAAAAAAAATACTTAAATATTATCATCTTGAAATAACTGAGCTAACCACAATTTAAATGCTACGAGTAACAGCAATGAAAATTTATTTTATTGCTGTTATTCTCGGTATTATTTATTTATTTATGAGTTTTAAAACAAATAGGACAAGCCCTCTAGCAATAAAATATATTTTTATGTCTAAAAGTAAGTATGCGTGATGTAAAGTAATCATAAAGTCAATAAAAAACCTTAGTCCTATTTAAAAGACAATAAACACTTTACTTTTTTAATATTTCGACTTTTATGTTATGTCATTTTAAATTTAAAAGATTTCTAGAATTAAAAAAATCGGATTCGGATTTAAAATGCTCAAAAGCATTACGTATTTTATCCCTCCACCTTTCTGTTTCAAAATTTTTAAGCCATTGTATTTTTTAATAGATAAGTTCTAAATTTTTGAAAACTGGTTTGTCTATCACATTTTTTTTAAAAGATATTTAACTCAAAGAATATAAATTTTTATATGTTGTTATACAAAATATGTACAACATTTAATGCAAAATCTAAAACGGAATTATATATTGGAAGTTGCATTTAATATAAAAAAAACTTGTGGTCATTCCTTTTTTTAATGGAGTATACAGCGAGCTGTAAATATTTTTGCAGACAGAGATATAGAAGATACATAGCAAACCATAAAAAATACTATAATTGGAGTACAAAGTGCACAAATTAAAAATACGAAAAGGAAGTACCTGAAAAATGGACAACAGACGACATTTTGGAACTAATGGAAGACAGAGAAAAAACACAAAAACAATTCACATATATAGGAAGAAATCCAGGCAATTAATATGTACATAATTATATACATAATACATAATATACGGAGTGGCCCAAAAGTCCGGAAACGGCCAATTATCTCGTATATTACTAGACATAATTATACAAAATTTGAGGTACACCTATTTTGGGATATGGAGATTCCATATTTGATATATACAATATTGTCAAATTTGCCGTTTCTCTTATATTATAAGTAACTTTGGTTTTTCAAATTCATCACCTTGTATATTTACTCATTATTGGAATATCCTTTTCAATAAGAGTTCAACCATATGTAACACCTATAATTTTATGTAGTCTAAAAGGTCTTAAATACATAAAACAGAAGTCTGGCAACGCCTAACTGTCTCAATAAATTTTTTAATACTATTTTTAACTACATTAAAACGTAACAATTGATAGATTACATCTTTTTAACACAATGGTTACTTTATCAAGTGTTTAAAATATGTTCCAATTGTAAGTTGACAGTACCCTAATCGATGGTAGAATGCGTCTACTACATTTTTCCATGATTGTCTAGAATTTATTCGAGATTCATCGGTTTTTCTTTGCTTTAAAGACCAGCAAGACTTGCTGGTTTAGCTTTGGAAACTGAATTTTTTAAGTATCCCCAATAAAAATAATCTTTAGGATTGAAATCAGGTGAACGTGGAGACTATTCAATTCTACCTCGTCTACCGATCCATCGTCCTGGAAATATCTCTTCTAAATAACCCGGAGCATTTACCCCAAAATGAGCTGGAGCTCCATCTTGTCCATATCTAATTAAAATTGGCACAAACAAGTTTATCAGTGTAGGTACAATTAAATTTTTAAGTAACATTTCATAATTATCTGAAGTTAAATTTCCTTCGATAAAAATGGCCCAATTAACTAAGTACCGACTATACCAGACCATACATTTAATTTTTATGGTCTTTGAGTTTGGTTTTAACGCATCCAGTGTGGATTTACGTCACTTTAGTACCTTAAATTGTGTCGATTTACACTTCCACACAGTGTAAAGGTTGCTTCATCGGAAAAACTACTACGAAATTTAACGAATTAGTTAACGAAATTTCAGTTAACGAAAGTTAACGAAATTTTTATCCTTTTCCATTTTATCCATCATTACCTCAGTAAACTCTAATCTACGATCGAAGTCATCTTCACTTAATTCTTGCAATAAGTTAATTTTGTATCGTTTAAAAATATTCTTATGTAATACACGTAAGACTGAAGAACGGCCTACATCATTTACTTGAGCAACCCTGGGCGAGGATGTATGTGGATCTTCAACAAAACTTTGCACTATATCTAGTTTTGCTGTCATTTATAACTCTTTTCGGTATAACTGATCAGTATCTATCTAGTAAATTCGTAATTCGTAATTTGTAAATTGTAAATTGCTTGTCATAATTTTACAAAATTTTGTGTAAATGTTTGGCGTTATTTAGAAGAGGTATTTCCCGGACGATGGATTGGTAGACGAGGTAGAACTGAATGGCCTCCACATTTACCTGATTTTATTCCTAAAGATTATTTTTATTGGGGATACTTGAAAAATTCAGTTTACAAAACTAAACCAGCAAGTCTTGCACAAATAAGGCAACGAAATATCAATAAATCTCAAATAATTTCTAGACAATCATGGAAAAATGTGGTAGACGTATTCTACCATCGATTAGGGTACAGTCAACTTTTTGAGCACATTTTGAACACTTGATAAAGTAACCATTATGTTAAAAAATGTTGTAATCTATCAATTATTACATTTTAATGTAGTTAAAAATAGTTAGTATTAAAAAATTTATTGAGGCAATTAGGCGTTGCCAGACTTTATGTTTTATGTATTTAAGATCTTCCAAACTACATAAAATCATAAGTGTTACATACGGTTGAACTCGCATTGAATAAGAGATTCCAATAATGACTGAATATACAGGGTGATGAATTTGAAAAACCAAAGTTACTAATAATATAATATTAACATTGCAAATATTAAATATGGAATTTTCGTATACCAAAATAGGTGTACCTTAAATTTTGTACAAATATAACTAGCAATTTACGAGATAATTGGCCATTTTCAGACGTTTGGGCCACTCTGTATATGAAAATGCAACTATGATAATACAACTAGACGAAAACAGAAATCCCATCCCCATTAAGAGAGGAGTGAGACAAAGAGATGTAATATCGCCTAATCTTATCAACCTAGCCCTAGAAGACGTCTTCAAAACTACAAATTGGTCAACCTATGGCATTAACGTTAATGGCAACAAGTGAAACCCTCAGATTCGCTGACGACATAGTGATTATAGCGAGCACATTCGAGGAACCGCAAATTATGTTGGGGGAACTAGCAGCCAGCTCCCAACACGTCGGCCTAAAAATGAATATGAAAAAAACAAAAATGACAAACACAGAAGACCCCAGACATATAACTATAAACGGCAGTGAGATAGAACAAATCCAGGAATATATCTACCTAGGCCCAGTCCTGAGACTTGACAAAGAGAACCAAAGTGTTTAACCAATGCATACTTCCTATCATGACATATGGATGTCAAGCCTATACCCTAACCAAGGCAAACATGAATAAACTAGCCACAACAGAAAGAACAATGAAAAGAGCAATGTTAGGTATACGACTGTCAGAGAAAAAGAGAAACGACTGGGTAAGATCCAAAACAAAAGTCGAGGACATAACAACAAAAATTGCCAAACTTAAATGGAGCTTCGCGGGCCACACTGCTAGACAGAAAGACCAACGTTGGAAAACTACAATAAAACATTGGAGACCTTACGAAAATAAACGACCAAGAGGAAGACCACAGATAAAATGGACTGATGACATTAAAAGAATAGCCGGAACAAATTGGAAATATGTTGCTCAGGATAGAGACCGATTGAAGGAGTTGAGAGAGGCCTATCTCCAAACATGGACGACAGAAGGCTAAGAAGAAGAAGAAGAAAAAGAAATCCAAAACCAAAGATTTGAAAACCATAAAACAAATGAAAAGTTCATAAATGAAATGTGTGACGTACTGGAAAAAAATAGACTAGACAGTTAACATAATACATTAACCTTTGCAAAAAAAATGAAAGAAATCACAACCACAATATCAAGAATCATAATATACCCATTCTAGATGTCAACATAGAAAGAATAACTACAGCAAGGAGCAAACAAATGCAATTATAGAAGGAATGGAAAATCCTTAGCGGACGACAAACCTTAATTTCAACAGGTGTCCACGTGGGAAAAACTGAAGGAATTCTAATCTTAGACATAAAGGTTGCCATATAGTGTGCAAATTGGAAAGCTTGTGGATCAGAAGAAATGGGCATTTTTAGTAATATCTATGAAGATGATTTAATTAGTTTAGCCTAAATTAAAAAATGACTCTTTCAACAGAAAAAAGTATATCTAATCTATAAAGTTTTTGATGGAGTTTAACATGAAAAATTAATCGTTGAGTGAACTGCAGAAAATTGAGCTAGACGAAAAGACCTCCGCATAATTAAAAACCTTAATTGAAACCAAGAAGTACGCTTAAAATATTCTGAACGTACTACTAAAAGTGTCCATATACAAAGAGGTGTTCGACAAGGATATGCCATGTCTCAATTGCTCTTTAAGTTGTACTTTAAATACTCATTCTGACATTAAATCTTTAAAAAACTGAAGTACTGGTATTTAGCAAAATCGAAAACTGTTGCATTGACCTAAATAATATCCAATAAAAAGAAGTTGACAAACTTAAAAACTAGCAGTAGTGCTAAATGATAAGTAGGATACAGGTATAAAAATAAAATCACAAATAGAACAGGCGAGGAACATTTACAATAAACAGAAGTAAATTATCTATAACCAAAAATTAAGCATATATATCTAAACTAGGGCTACTAATCCTACATTTCGTAGGTCCCTTTATACGAAGTTGAAGTATGTACATTAAAATTAAATACCATTTGATGGTTAGAAGCCTTTGAAATGTGTCTTATTGCAGAATGCTTAGACTATCATAAATAAACCATACAGTGAACGGCTAAATTATGGAATATTATCATGATTTCGAGAACCGTCGAGTTTTGAGAAAAATCCCGAAAGAGGTCGATTTTTGTTATAAAATACCCATCTTATAACGTACATGGAGTAGGGATGACGTCATCGGTGTGGTAGTGACATAACTGTTAATTTTTTTAAATAGAAATTGGTATAATGCGATACCTCATTTGAAGGAGAATGTAATTCTCTTTTTAACAACATTACATTTTTAACTAAAATATTTTTTTAAGCGTAAAAAACAATTTTTTTTTAATTTAAATTCAACTAAATTACAACTAATGACTTAAATCATAATGTACTTTAAAGTAATAAAATTATGCATAACAATTATTTTAAATTAAATGTTCGAAATGCCATTCATCGGTTCCTGCTATGCCTTTCTGAAGTAAATACTTAAAAAAGCAAAAATAAGTAAAAATAGTAATGGATACAAAAAGTTATTTCATAAACACTGAAACAATTTGTCAAATGTTAATTCAAGCAAGTGATAGTGGCATAGTTATTGTAATATTTATTGACGTGAATGTTTTGATTTTGTGAGTTGTCATCAGTTGTCAATTGTAATTTTTACTTTTGAATACTAAATTATAGCTCACCGAAATGAAACACAACGCATGGAAATATTAATTCTTAGCGGATGCGGAGATAAAAAAAAGAACACAGAACCAGGTATGAAATTTATTCAATGCAAAATATCCAGACAGACCCATCAGCCAATCAACAGTAAGTAAACTAGTACGAAAATTTGGAGAAACTGAGCACGTTAAACATACTCCAAACGCTGGGCATCCGAAAATTGAAGACAATGTGAAACTTGATATTCTATTAAAATTAAATTAAAAGTGAATATGCTGGAGTTTCCCTACGATCGGTATTACGTATTAGAAAATTAAAAAGAAAAATACCATGATGGATGATGGTATTAGAAATACTTGAAGGATGTGTCCGTAGGTTCGCATATTGTCAAGCAACCGATGGATGGCATTTCGAGCATTTAATTTAAAATAACTAGTATGCATAATTTGGTTACTTTAAAGTACATTATGAATTTAATCATAAGTTGTAATTTAGTTGAATTTAAATTAAAAACAATTGTTTTTGTACCCCTAAAAAATATTTTAGTTAAAAATGTAATGTTAAATAGAGAATTAAATTCTCGTTTAAATGAGGTGTCGCATTATACAGATTTATATTTAAAAAATTAACAATTACGTCACTACACCTACACCGGTGACATCATCCCTACTCCAAGTACGTCATAACATGGGTATTTTATAACAAAAATCATTTCCGTTCACTAGCCGTTCACTAACGAACCACACAGTATTAAACACCATAAACAGAGAGTTAAAACTGTTTAACAGCAGTTAAGAAAAGATATACTTCGTATTTAGACTGTATAATGAGAAATGACAAATATAACCTGAAGAGGAGAAAGCAGAGGAAAAATGTATATCAGACCGTGGATAAGCTTAAATGTTCAACAATTACTAAGAGCAACGTAGTATAGAGAACATTTTGATGTAGTTATAGCAAACATTTTTGGTAATGGGTTGTACCAGAAGAAGATGAAGAAGAATTATTTTAAGCGTATTGACCAGCTACATATATGTAAAGGTGTACAATTTCTATTTATATCCGATTATTTTTGGAGATAAATGTATTAAGTGGTCGACATATAAATCCTGAATAGGGTATATGCCAAACATGTTTTTTGTACGTAATATGCTTATATGGTGTTAATAAATTGTTAAAAAAATACTAACACGTTTTTGTCACACAGCTTATATTTTTATATTTCTGAAAGTGCACAAAGAAGAAAAAAATCAAAAAACATTATCACAGAATAATAAAAAATAAAGATGTCAAAAAACAAAACAATTATATATTAATAAACTTTGGTGTTTTCTTCCTGTCAATAAAATCTTAGAATTTAAAATTCAGGTCTCCGTCCATTGTAAATCTGTGAACAAAAAGCCATATTAATTAAATACAAAATTAGTTATCTATCAGGGTTCTTTCATTAAAAGTTGGGACTTTCTAAGGTCAAAAAATAAAAAAAATTCATTAAAAAGCAATTTTAAAGAAGTAACAAAAAAATAACAATATCTTTGTTTCTAATATTATTCACTATTCGGAGATAACTATAAACATGATACCTGAGTGCTAACATTTCCAACACAACATAAGATAGAAAGGATAATGGAAACAAAAACTAATAAAATAAAACAAAATGACGGTATTATTATATTTTGATTTGATACAGAGCAGCAATAAGCCGCATATACGTATTTCGATCTCTTTAGATCTCCTCAGTACGGTATAGTTACTACTCCATATCAAACCAAAATATTTTCCCGTCGTAGATTATAGTTATTAAAAATAACTATTTAC